CGCCGGTGCGGGTTTGTCGTTGTCCCCGAGTGTCAGGTGTGACTCGTCCGGTTGTCCGTGTGTGTGTGTGTGTGTGTGTCCGGGAGCGAGTCAGCGCTGAGGCTACGCGGGTCTTATTGGAAACGCTTTCCCAGCGTTGAGACAACCGCTTTTTCGGTGCATTTATCAGTTGTGTCTCGGATGCTTTATTCTGCTGCTTGTTCTTAAATTAAATCGGCCTCCGCCGCTGCTTGTCCAGGCGCCGCGTGTGCCACGGAGCTGGCAGAACGGCGTCCGGCGCCATGGTATCTTTATGTGTGTCGACGTGTAGACATCGCGAGCTATTTACTTCAGGAGATGAGGGAAAAAGCAACTTGAATTGTGGTGGTGATTTTGTGTCAAGGTATCTTAGAGGCGTGAGTTTTATATTTTTCTCCTGAAACTGACTTTGGAAAGAATTCTTTCTTCCATTGCCTCCCCGTCCTCCTCCTCCACCCCCAGGTTTAAAATAATGACCGAAATGTATGTTTGTACTACTGTGAACGGCCTTTTAAATTTTACAGAAGTAAAACCGAATCGATATTTAACTTTTACACCCAAGGGAGATTCTAAAGAATATTAGGAAAATAGGAAAATTATGTAACTTAGAATTACCTTCTTTAGTATTTGACATCATGGTCGGCAGGGTGAGTGAGGAAAAAAGTATACTTTTTGACATTACTTGTATTATGAGGGAGGAAGTCACCTGGGACCAGATTATTTCCACTGAAGCAAGTTAATAGTGGGAGGGCTGAAGAAATGTGTATTTGCAGACTAATTTATATGGCTTGTCATTTCATATGGTCCAGATTTGTTTTGTAATAAAATTAAAAAACAAAACAAAACAATGTTTATTTAGAAGTCAGAGCTAGCATTAATTTCTTGAAGGAAGTATGTATTAAAAACAGCCAATATAAAAAGACACTATGGTCTTGTTATCAGGAATAACTGAAATATATTAACACTTTGAACAGTGTGGTATCACACTTTGCTTTTCTTATATCTTCTGATGGAAAGAGATTAAAACAGAAATATGTTTTGAAAAACGTGTTTGAATAGATTTCAATTCACTTTTTAAAATTTAATCCGTGAATAGGTTCAGCGTGTGGAAAGTTAGTAAAAAAGTCAATAAGTTCTGAATGAAGAAAGCAAACTGATGGCTCCTACTGCAGAAATCTAATATGGAGGCCGATGTCCAATTTCCCCAAAGATAATTGACGAGTCTTTTTTTGTTAGCCTGGGAGTCTACCAATAATTTGCTACATTAAACACGCTTAAGTAGAGTAAATACATCTTAAGAAAAGTATATGCAAAGTATCACATTCAAGGAGCGTTATAAATGTTCCATGGTGATCTAGAACATGGCAGGTGGAACAAGTCCTCGTCATTTACACTTATATTGCAAGTCCTTTGAAAAAAGCCCGGACAGTCTGTGCAAAGCTTTGTTGGCCGGTTATAAAGACACTTAGGAACACACTGACTTTCCAATTTTGATTCAATAAGGCGAAAGCAATGTTTTGCATTTATACAGCACTTAATATACTATATAAAGTACTTGCACATGTATTATTTGATTTATAATTCTCACAGTTTTCTGTGAAGTGGACAAGGCACTTCATAGGTGAGAAAACAGTCTCAGATGTTAAAGGCTTTGCCCTAAGTCTTAGAACTCGTCTCAGCTCTCTTAAGTTGCTAAACTGAGAAAACGCTTGCACTGTTATTTCTGCTGTACTGTAGTCATATAATTACATGGAATAATTGAGATACGAACAAGATTAGTTTTAGGATAAAGAAAATATAAACTTTTAAAGAAATGTTTATTTGTTATAGGAAATAAATATAACAAAGTGTTTTTGTTTTTTTTTTTTTCTTTTAGGGAAAATCCAGAAAGAACCTTTGACTTGGTATTGAAAGTGAAATGTCATGCCTCTGAAGCTGAAGGTGTGTGTTCTGTTGATTCTTAAAATAATTAATTGAGTGTCAGAACAAGTGTTAATATTGTGGACTGTTGGAACATGATAGTATCAGGAAATAATAGTACTAAATATGTATGCTTCATAGAGTGTCTCTAGTTGCTGGTAATAAAATAGACGCTAGGTCTTGGCCTGGGGTTTCAGAAACCGTGAATGTCATCTGTGCAGCTGGAATTTCAGGTATTGGTAAGCCCGTATAACTTACAAGTCAAGTTTACCATCATTGGTAAACTTATCGTTAGTTTTGGTGAAAGGGCATGTCTTTTCATTTGTGTTTGAAAATTTAGCTCTCTTTAAAAAACATTATATATCCCCCTGCCGGTGCCAATGGCACCAGTTCCCTTCAGATGTTTCCAGAATGCGGAATGCAGCCTGCAGACTGAGTAGCACCTTCTGCTGGGTCTACTCCAGTAGCACGGCACTTTCAGAGGGAGATCAACAATAGCGGGACATTACCTGGAAGGGCTTCAGAGTCAGTTCTGTACAATTTCCCAAAAAGTTGAGGGAGTACTTTAGTAATGTGATTTTTGTCAGTTTTTTTCTCCCAATTTTGTTTTATTGTATATGTGCATCAGTATGTGGGGGGAGGGGTAGCAGAAAAGAATAAGGAATCTGTCTTCTTGCTTATTTCCTTTCTACATGTCCTTCTGTGGTACCTCTTCATGGATATCTCCTGTGTATGACTTTACTTGCAGTGTACTTAGGCGACAGCAGGATGATTAAGTGTGGGGTTTGGTGGAGACTAGTTGGCCATCCTCAAGCCTTGGTGGAAAGTCTGCTGACAATCTTAGCTCCGGAAACTAGGCAGCAATTACATACTCTTGAAAAATTTAGAGCTGCACACCTTAAAATAGAGGGGCCCAGCCCAGTTGTGGTGAAATGGGCATGGCTAATTTTAGGTAGGAAGTCACATGCATTCCTGGCTCCACCAGCCCCGCCTGCTGTACTTATGGCCTATTTGAACTACAGCTGTGGTCAGCTTTGTCCACTGGCAAGGAGTGATCGTAAGTTATAGGGAGCCTCTTCGTCACAAAAGAGGTTATCTTTTGTTGTCCTATATGTAGTAAATTTTGTCCATTTGCATTCTTTCCAGGCCCAACCAAGTCCTCTTTCCAGAATGGATACATTATGCAGAATGGATACTCAAATGGATATATTATTTTTTCAGCTGCGATTTAAATTTATTCCGTAGTGTATTTATGGTATGAGTTAATCTTGAAAATACCTACCATAACATTACCAAAGGTGTGTGAAGTAATGCTCACCTGATATGTTTGTGAAACAGGCTAAAATCATTTGGAAAACATGGCTTCTCTATAATTTTAAATGCATCCTAAAGTGGTCTTGAGAAAAAGATTGATCTGCCTTATATAGTACCTGATCTACAAATGTGTCAGAGATTTTGAATTTTTCATAAAGACATTTGAGTGGTTTTCTGTTTTCCTTCATTCTTTTCCACTTTTCACAAACTAGTTATTACAGTTTGTAATTTCTACTTTTTCTGTTCTTTCTTTTACTACCTTCTTGTCTCTTTGCTGCTGTCATTCTTTATTTAAATCACTACTTTTTAGAAACATGGTCATTTGTATTTAGCAGCTTATCCTGCCTGGTAAGGTTGGAAATATACTAAATGGTTTAAGTAAATAGTTTTGGCTTATCTATAGGTTGCAATTAATCTTTTCTATATGGCTAATTGGCAGCAAATTCTAAAAATTTTTGAAAAAGCTAAACTCAACCATGTAAAAAGCATTTGCCTTTCTTCTTTTGATTGTGACTTAAATGGTATGAATATGATTAATATTTTAGGGTCTAACAAGTTATAATTTTTTGTGCCCTAAAATGTAATGCTGTCTATAACTAAGAAGACTATAAAAGTAAGATTTTATGTCAGATTGAGTGTTTGATGTTTCTATAATGTTTTATCAGTTTTCTGCTTTATTACTAAATATTAAAGGGAATGATATATGGAAATTGTTTAAAAATTATCAGAATATTCCTACTCTTTAACTGTCAATAACTTGTTTGTTTTAGTAAGATTCTGACATGTGAAACAGCTTGTTTAAACTAGGATAAATTTTTTTACTGACATTTAAATGAGCATGAGTGAAATTCTTATGCATGTAGTAATAGACTTGGAAAACAAAACATATAAAGTAGGATACTTTGAGGTACAAATATAAAACTGGCTTAAATAATATGGAAACTTGAGAGACTTGAGAGTTCACGTAAGAGGAAGTCAAAAATCCAGTTTGTTTCTGCATCTCAGCGCTGCCGCCCACAGTAATGGTGTCATTGGAAGGCTTAGATTCCATGTAGTTATAAGACGGCTGCGAGTAGAAGCTGGAATTCTGCTTTCTAGTTTATGACTATGGGGGTGGCAGACACTGGCTCTAAATGGCTCTGTCCCTTGAGCCAGAAAGTTCTTTTCCCAAATCCCCAAGATAACTTTTCTATGGATTCCAGTGGCCCAAGTTGGCACGGACCTGACCGTTCCTGAAATAATCATGGGTGGGGTAGAGGTGAAGAGGTGGGAGGCAGGACTGTCATGATTTATCTGCTAAACAAATGGCAAGGAATAGAGATGTTGGGAAATCAATTAAAAAATTTTTTTGGTAAAATAATTCTCAGAAATTGGTTTATTTTTTGATGACTGATCAAATAGAAAGTATGCTCAGGGTAAACTTGGTTTATGCTAAGATTGCTGGTATTTCATTAAGGAATTCTGCATGCCTCATTTCTTGATAGAGAAGTTTTAAATTCTTTCATTTATCCTGAAAAACTTCGATCATATGATCTTCAGAGACAAGTTATTATTAACTTAGGTTTTAATTAGTGGTATTAAATGGCATTAGTTGTTGAAAATATAACTTGATATAGTTAGCTCTGGTAAGATTATGACCTTTAGCTGATCTATTGCTATTTTGACTTGTTTCAAAAGCATTATAAGAGGAAGTCAAAGATCCGGTTTGTTTCTGCATCTCAGCTCTGCCGCCCACAGTAATGGTGTCATTGGAAGGCTTAGATTCCTTGTAGTTATTAGACGGCTGCCAGTAGAAGTTGGAATTCTGCTTTCTTGTTTATGACTATGGGGGTGGCAGACACTGGCTCTAAATGGCTCTGTCCCTAGAGCCAGAAAGTTCTTTTCAAAAGTTCTTTCCCCAAATCCCCAAGATAACCTCTCCTTGGATTCCAGTGGCCCAAGTTGGCATGGACCTGACCGTTCCTGAAATAATCATGGGTGGGATAGAGGTGGAGAGGTGGGTGGCAGGACTGTCATGATTGATTGATCTGCTAAACAATTGGCAAGGAATAGAGATGTTGGGAAATCCATTAAAATGCTTTTTTTTTTTGTAAAATAATTCTCAGAAATTGGTTTATTTTTGATGACTGATCAAATAGAAAGTATGCTCAGGGTAAACTTGGTTTATATTAAGATTGCTGGTATTTCATTAAGGATTTCTGCATGCTTCTCTTCATTTCTTAACAGAAAAGTCTTAAATTCTTTCATTTATCCTGAAAAACTTAGATCATATGATCTTCAGAGACAAGTTATTATTAACTTAGGTTTTAATAAGTGGTTTTAAATGGCATTAGTTGTTGAAAATATAACTTGATATAGTTAGCTCTGGTAAGATCAGCTTCATGGACCACAATTTATTAATTTGTATCCTTAAGAAAAAGCTTACTATAGTATCTGGCATGTTTAATGAATATTTACAGAATGAATAGAAGAAATTGGATCTAGTTTAANGTCAGTTCTGATGGTGTCTGACAGACTGGTTGTGGCATCTTTTAATGCAGGTTACAACCTCGCAGTAACTTCTGCTCCAACTGTCCGAGAGTGAAGTGCCAAAGTTTAGATCTTCATGTTCTTCTTGGTGATCTCCAAGCTAATTGCTGTTGTCACTCTTCTCTGCTGTGTTTCTTGCTTCCCAGCAGGCAGGGAAATGCAGCCATCAGTGATGGCTTCTCTTTACCAGCAGGCAGGGAAATGCAGCCAGCAGTAATGGCTTCTCTTTAATTCAACAGTAATTCAAGAGAATTATTACCACTATTCTGCCCCCACTTTCCCCAAGGTGATTCAAGACTTCAGGGAAATGGAAAGTAACCCTTCCTCGATAAAAGATTGGAGATGCCTCCTCTAAGAGTTTCTCTTCTAGACCAGTGGCCTTGGTACTAGCTTTCCCTTTTTTATTTTATTCATAGCTTACCCCAAGTAGTAGCAGCAGTAGCAGCATCAGCACAGCAATGAATACTATTACTCCACGTCAGGCACAATTCTGGGTATTTAAGCCTCACAAAAATCTGAGATAGAAAATGTTTATATTCATTTTGCTCATGACAAAACTGAAGTACAGAGAACTTAAGAAACTTGTCCAAGGTAGTCTGACTGCAGAGTCTGAATTTTAACCATAGCTGTCGCCTCTCCTTGTATAGCAGCGTCACATAAGCTCGGTATAGGCTGTTTTACCATGTGAGCAGTTGTTCGAGTGTAAACTATATGTGGTGCAGGTAATTTTTTTATAAACAGGAATACAGTGTGTTTCCTAAAATTAATGAATCTAGTATTATTCCACCCGAAACAACTGCTGAGTTTTTCCCTTGTGGTTATAGACCCTGACTCAACATGTCTCCCTCCCCACGACACCTCATTTTTAGGATTTAAATCTCCATACTTAGTGAATCTTTGATCTAACAGTTCTAGCTATTTATTAGTAGTTTTAAACACATCTTTAGAAAGTCTTGTTTTCTTTATTCCTTTCTCTTTACCTAGGATAATTTCTGTTAGGAACAAATCCGCCTTTGCTTCCGACTTTCCACTTCGATCAGCCTATCCAGCCCAGTATCAAATTTTCTGTCTTTCTTATCTCTAGCTCATGTTAAC